TTATATCTTTATGTTTGAAGCCTGAAATGTGGCAAAAGGTTGAAAAGTTCAAGGGGGCCGAATACTTTCGCAAGGCACTGTAAATGAATGAATGTGATTAATTAAAAATCAAGATTTTTCCTGTTAGTTATCCTTTCTTTGGTGTTAAAGAGATACAGTACTATAGAATATTTAATTACACTTCAGCATAAGGAGAGCCAAACTCAGTGTGTTTCAGTGTGGTCACTGACATTGACTAATCTTCACTTCAGCTTTTCCTGGGGATTCACTTGTACAGATAGGCATATGTTCTTCTTGACCAGAAATAGTTATATTCAGTTAAAACTGATAGAATTCTTTATAGGTCACCCAGCCAAGCACTATAGTCACTGTCATGCATTCTTCACGGATTCATTATTTAATGCCTCTTACCTCATCTGATCAAACCTGTGAGCTATTACATGATGAGATATAATTGGAATCTGTTGTCCTTTATTTGCGTTTGTGTCCTCTGGGTAGTCTGCCGAGCGTGTACATTAACGTTTCTTCCAAGGAGACTTTGTCATTACAGCAGAGGGCATGTGGGTAAATTTCTGGAAAGACTCCAGAATCTTTCAGTCAGAAAGACTGAGGCAGAAGAAGATGATCATCTATTACTGTACATGTTTTTTTTTTTTTTTAATATTTGTTGTTATTAAAATAAGCAAATGTCCTTTAGAGGCTAAACTATTTAAACCTCATCTAAAACATAAAGGTATTCGGGGTTTATTATTATTTTTTATAGAAGTGACAAATATTCTTCATCAAAGTGACACGTTCCTCACCTATAACTACATTACTAACATACATTTCAAGTATACTTCTAAAATTCTGATATTTTGCAGTAATTATGACAAGGGTTGACTTAACTGTTAGAATTACTTATTGCATACAATGTGACATCCTTTCCCCAGCAGGGACTAACAATGCTTCTTTAGAGTAGTTGTGATGCAAAAGCTACTCTGCTTGTTTGCTTTTCAGAAGTTTTACAATGCAGAGCCAAATGGTGCCTCTAAATGACTTGCTGTGTGTTTCTGAATTATAAACAAAATTACCCACATCCCTGAACCCAGAGGGAACACTTGGCTGAGTATTGCTCTTGAATTTATCTGACTCTTGCTGCTCACAAGAGCAGTTTTGTTGCCTGCAGATATTGCAGGATGGCAAAGTTTGAATCATCAGCATTCAGTTCGTTGTGGAGGAAAAAAATATTTTGTGGCCTGAAGGTGTGAATTCTTCATACCAGCTAAAAGGAGATATTGAGTGATTCAAGTCTTCTTTCTCTCTTTTTTTTTAAATGCAAACAAATGTGAATGACACCACTGAGTGTACGGCCATATTACTCTCCCAGTCTGCCCTGGGCGATGTAGTCTTCTTGTGCATATCTTTCAGTTCAATCACCTTGCTCTAATGCAGATTTTCGGTTTTATATTTTATGAAAAAGAATTATAGAGATAGAACTCTTGACACATGTCAATGTCGTTTAAATAAACATGTTGCGCCAGATTTTTCCTCAGATTCTCAACCTCTTTATTTTTTAATAAACACATGCATTATACAATATTTCACACTGGTCATACTTGTGTAAACAGTTGAAGTCAAGCTACTTTTTATTTCCTGAAGGAAGAGGGACCCTAACAAAAGAGATACTGTACATGTCAAGCACACCGTTCATTCTAAGTACTGTAGGAGCTTACTTTGTGACTTAAACCAGTCCTTGGTCTCAGTGTTGTTTTGTTTTACAGTTTGATTTTGTCAAGCTGCTGGATGGGAAACAACTGATTAAACAAGAGGCAAAGGTTTCCGAAGAGTCCAGCTCTTCTCCAAGGAATTTGATTCTTACATCCCTCCAAGAGACAGGCTTCATTGAATATATGGATCCAGGAACCTGGTACCTTGCATTCTACAATGATGGAAAAAAGATGGAACAAGTGTTTGTCCTGACCACTGTTATTGGTAATAATTATATTAATTCTGTCCAGATTGTTAACTTGGATACAATAGGCTTTATACTTCCCTTGTCCAAAAACTGGGTTTCTCTGACCACTGTGTCCTTAGGTGAACAGTAAACATCAGTGTTTCAAAAGCAAGAGGGCTGGTTCATTCATTCAAACTCAATAATAAATAACAGAGAAAATACAGTTCTTGTACACTAATAAAATCACTGTCACCAAACACTTTACTTCTTCCACAATTAAAATGTTTTACTAATTAAAATGACATGTTACATTTTGCAGCTGCTAAACACCATTCACCCTTGTTCTAGGTTTTTCTTCATCCTACTATTGTTCAAGTGAGTATTTTCTAGCCCATAAATTTTCACCATATATTCAATTTCACGAAGCTGTAATGTATTTATTCACCTAAAAACCCCAGTGTATGCAATAACTATGAAAATAACTTAATGTTACAGGGAGGTATTTGAAAGGTCATATTTATATGTATGTTTTGAGCAGCTTTTCTAACATTATTTGGATGAATAGTATACAGTATCATAAATTATTGCGTTGAAAAATGTTATGTTTCCATTAATAAAACCAGTAAAAGGGTTCATTACATATCAGTATCTTCTTCCCACAGCTATGTGTAAGTCACTCACTTGAAAACCAAGAAAGAAATATTGAATACAAAGTGAAATTACTGAACATGAAAATAGATGGAAATGCAGAATATGGAAGACACATACATTGTAATTATTTGGCATCTAAGGACAAATGTCATCACATTCTAATTTACATTATTTTTTTAGTACTTTATGTGGTTCTATATGATGGATTACAGAAGAAATATTCCTCTGGGTTTGCAGTAAAATGCTATCACTTTAAAATGTAATGATGGTTTGAAACTTTACTAGTATAGTACATCAAGGCTCTGGGATTTTTGTGCTCAATTTCATCTTTTGCCAACCATTCTGTCACGATTGCTGCTTTTTGTCTAAGAGCTGACACGCAGTGTTTCCCTCTGACATTCGAACAGAGACTCAGAGCAATTTAATGAAAGTTTCTTGTTCCCAGTTTGTGTTATGTGTGTAATGTCCAATTAAACTATTCTGAATAAGCCATCTACATTTCTCCAAATAAACGCTGCCATAGGTTCTGAAACAGCTAAAGAGCATATCCACCTTAATTGACTGACCTTTGGTTGCCAATCTCTAGGCATATGTTAAGAAAGGTATGGGATTCGCCAATCCACTATCCATCTGCTCTTGATAAGGTTTTCATTCTATTTTTAACTTATTCTAATGTAAATGCTTCAGGGGTAATTTAGAAACTAATGTATTCATGATGCAAGGTCCTCATGGGCCAAGAAGGGAACTGTTACTACGCAAAGGGGGAGTGTGGTTGAGGAGAAGATTAAACTTTTCTTCTGCAGTGGTTTTGTCTTCACTTGTCCCTATATACTGTATGAAACACTGATGTTTTGGTAGCAGTGGTCTGTTGCCCATTATTGCCGAGGATAACTTTAGAGGTTCGAAATAAAAACAGGAAATCTTCACCTATGTAACAATTTCTAACTGCTTTATCTGATCCAGGGTTGCAGGGGAGCCAAGCAACATGTACAAGTGCAAGACAAGATACATCCTGGATGCCAGTTTGTTGCAGGGCACACATACTGTAGCTGCAAACACACACCAGCGCCAATTTTGCAGAAGCCATTTAACCTACCAGTATGTCTTTGGACTGTGGGAGGTAACCAGAGCACCTGGCAGAAACCCAAGCAAACACAGGGAGAACATACTGTACAAACACCACACAGGCTGCCTTAGGACTTGAACCTAAGGCAGCAGTGCTTACCACTGCACCAGCACAACTCCCTTATTGATAAAATATTAATCACAAATCTTTTCCATTACCAGTATTTTGATAATAAAAATGTATATATGACTATTCTAAATGAGTATTACAAAAAAAACTGATATGAATACAGTATGTATACTATATACCGCATATACAATATAATGTACAATTTGCATGTTGCATTAAATTAAGATTTTGATTGTGGATCTCAGTTTATCTCATCAGTTATTAACATGAATTAGTAGTGGAAATTTGATTTTTCATTTCAAACTCTCATAAGATTTCTGTGATGAATATTTATGTACCCAGTAATTAATTCATAGCTGTCGTCATGTTTCAGTTCAAATACTACATGTTCAAATGCATTACATACAGTATCACATACATGACACAGCCTATGATCTCCATTTTCCCTTTATAGAAATCCCTCATCTTTCTCTCTAAAGGCAAGCACCAGGTTGAGAATAAGAAGTACAACAGCACTAGATTAGTGGGTGTAGAGTAGCCATACTGTAACTCCTTTTAAAAACAAATCCAGAGGTTTTCAAAATGGTTTTTCAAAAGTACAGATGTGTAGCATTGCAAGGCCCTGCTAATGGCTCTTTCTGCCTAGAGAGCAATCAGTGGAGAAATGCTCACCTGGTTTTCATGTTAAACTGCTGGTTGTTTTCTCTTGGCAAAAAAAAACCCATAAAAAATAAATTGTTGGGTGCCCTTAGCAACTATGGAACAACTTCATCAGGAAATATTGAATTTCTACCTATAAGCTATTACTGAGTGTGTGTTTTATGTACCTAGAAACCATGGATGGGTGCTCAACAAACTGCAATGGAAATGGAGAGTGCATTTCTGGCCACTGTCATTGTTTCACAGGATTTCTTGGACCTGACTGTGCAAAAGGTAGTGTTTTTCTTTATTTATTGCATAAGACTCTTATTTTATGCAGTGTGTATAGCAGACATTCAATTGAACCATAAGTGCACAAATCCAGCCCTGGAGAGCCAGAAATTGGCAGATTTTCTAGGTCTTATTAATTTATTGTCAACTGAAGACCTTTGAAAAGTGTTAAATTCGTCCAATTATGGCATTTCCAAGCTATAAAATGCTATGAAATTTCCAATTTTCTGTGCCTTGTAGGTGTATGCATGTAATATAGTATAAATAAAATGTACATCTAAGGAAGAGATGATCAAATAGATTATTTTTTATTTCTGTCTATTCACTGGAATATGTATTATTGTATTTATTGCAGTTTATTAATATTGTGTTGTACTGATTAAAATATGAGTGGATTACAGATTATATTTTTTTGCAAAATTGTCACTGTCAACATTCTAATTTATATATGGGATCAAAAGACTAAAGGAATGAACAATATTGTCAAGGAGGTTAAAGAATATAAAATATAGTCATGCCCAGCATTTCCAGATATCAATTCCTCTGTCTAACTAGACATTTTAATTCACTCTTTCAATAGCAGGTTGCAACATATAGAGTTTTTGATTCTCTTATTGACAATTCACTGCTAAAGCCAATATGTTTTTGTTGATTAATAAAGTGTTTTTTTTCTAGTCTAGGAGACTTTCTAGTATTGATTTTTATATCTTGTCAGTTGTGAAGTAAATGTTTCAACTGCTTTGTAATACTTAATAGCAGCTAAATTGAAAGTTCCTAAAAACAGCAATTTAAAAAAAATCACTGTCCTCCATATCCATCACATACAGTAATTTTCTTTATAAAACTATTTCTAAAAAGGATGATAATTCTGTAAAATATAGAGGACCAATGAATTTCGAGTCTTTTAGTGCTGAATATTTCTGTCTGAAAGATCTCTTTATACCATGTTCTGATTTGTAGAATAAAAAAGTTAAGGATAGAATAGTCATACATTAACCCAGGAATCGTTCTACAAAGCAATTTAATCATATATACTATTTTTAGTATTGTACAAGTAAGTGTGTGGGTGATTATACACAAATACAACAGAATATGCTGTGTATAATGTGATATAAACGCAAAATAGGTTAATAAAAATACATTTAGTAAATCTACATATACAAATAACAAAGCACAGAAAGGGCATTTTCCATTTTAAAAGCAAAATAGAACCTTTAGTGAACTTTGTTTACTAAATATAACTTCTTTATATTTATTTACTGCATTACTGCAGTCCTGACTTTAAGGTTACTAGAATTTGTGCTGAAACCCTTTGCAATCGATTTTTATTTCTTTTTTGGATTCAAATAAACTGTTCTCTGCTTCTTTGAGTCTATTACTTTTATCTGATCCTACACCTTTCTTTCTCTCCTTTGAACGTTATCCCTTGGAATTATTGTGGCGAATGTAATGTGCCCATTACTGATCCCAATGTGGAGCTATGCCAGAGTTGATATGGAGACTAATAGACCATCAGGGATAAGTGCTGCTGCTAACTGAGAGCTTCTGTCTACTAGCAGAAAACTAGAAAGGTTGCCGAGACCTTGTATGGGTTTGGAGGACAAGAAGACATAATGATATTATGCATCAGAAAAAACAAGCATTATGTGATATAAAACTTATTTTGTTAACCTAATTTCTGCTTAATGAAGATACTACAAAGATGTCTTTGGTCATTCCAGTTTATGATGCCACGAATCAATTAAAATATCTAAGTAAATGTCAGTCAAAGTATATCATGCTAATACTGTGATTTAAATGTTCCTTTTGTGAAATATTGCGACTGTATGATAAAAGGCACAGTACACAGAAACAAATTTAAATGTTAAAGAGATCCTTATTTTAAGTTTCTTTTTTTGGCAGTTGTCATTATACAACATAACAAACATTTTTAGTTTTTTCAAACTTTATGCTACCCACTGGAAAGGAAAATGGAAAATACAGAGAAATATGGTTCACAAGAAAATCCACAAGATTATCCTCCTGTTTTCCTTTCACTAAGAAATCAGAATTTATTACGCCAATGGTGTGGCTTAATATCAATTGCAAATTTGGAGACAGTTAAAATGTTCATTACATGCAGTGTAAAGTATTTTGAAGGAAGTAATACCAGGATAAAGACAAGTGATGTTCTAGATACTAAAAAACGTAAAAGCTAAACAAGAAAAAAACATAATCTTTTGTGTTATTAAGATTTCTTTTGTGGTTCATTATTGGATTACATTCTGCTTAGACGTGGGAACATTACAACCTGACAAGAATAGTTAGCTGCTTTGAAAACTAAACAAGCCTTAATCATTGTATGCTGTGATTCATTATTTTTGTTTTTTACCACAAGCAATATGTGTCAAACATTAATAACCTAATGTACTTAACTCCAGGCTTTGAATCATATTTATTTAGAATATACAAAAAAAAGGGGTGAGTTGGACTAGTAAACAACAGCAAGATTTTTTTCATGCTTTCACACATTATAGAAAAGTCATTGAAACAAAATACAAATTAATTAAATGATTCACTTCCAGGAACTATGCAGTATTTATTAAAGCAGGGGTGCTTTAACTTTCTGTTTGCTTTTGCTTTTTTTATTATACCGAGGTATTAAGGACTGCATTTTGCTATGGTTGGCAATAAAGATGCACTTTTCTCTCCTAAAAGCCTCAGTATACAATTGTTCTTGATTGATTAAATTAACATATGCTCATTTAAATTGGAAATGAGACCACCACAACAGGAAAAAACAAAATACCTGGTATGGAGAATGTAGAAACAGTCAGAGGCCAAAGTATGTCATTTATATTTGTAAAACAAAGTGGGAGCTGCCTGAGTTGTGGATTTCTGTTGCTTTCAGATATTTCTTTACACACACTTATCTCATGTCATTTAAAAAATATTTTCACCTTTTAATTTGCTGTTATCTACTATGTCTGGTATTACTCAACATCTACAGGGCATTATGTGCTCAACACCACCAAATCAGTACAGTTACAGTACATTAATAATAGTCCCTTCTTTAGAATTGTAAAGAAGTTAGCACTTCTACTACTAGCAGTTAGATTATTTTCTTAAACATTTTGAATATATACTTTTTGAAGTCAAATATTGTAGCATTAGACCATAATTAGCGCAAGATTCATCATGCCTAAAATTAATTAAATTATAATTTCGAATATATCTTCTGTAGACAAATTGAAGCAGGAACAGCTGCTGCAGGGTGTGGAAAATGTCTCAAACCATGCAATGTTGCAATCTGAGAAATTAAAAATTAGGTTCTACATCACCTTACATAAACTAAATGTACATAACTGTAAGTCATAACTCTTATATGGTATGTTCTCAAAATGTGTATCATTATCATTATTATTACAGTCCTGTAATGATTTAAAACTACTAGTACTGTATTATTATCACTGTGACCTGTACAGTACTTTAACATTAAAGTTATGTTCTTGCAGAGCAATTATATGGTTCTTTTTTGCAGCATCCGCTCGTCACATCGCTAGTATGCTTTTCAGTTTTGACTAACAGGGTAACACTGGAAACACGCATAGGAAAATGTTCCAGACAATGCACATATAAGAGAAGATACAGTACGCACACAAGGCAACACAGAACAATACTGAGGCCACACTCAACTGTTTATGCAAAGCTGGATTTTAAGTAAATCACAGTTACTTGTACATGATTTAGGGAATACCTTTTTTAATTTCCTCTTTTGATCAAAGTGGAAAAATTGATTTTGCTTTGTTTTTCAGTGTACGGTTAACCCCTTTTAGAAGGAAGGCACAATTTGGTCACTTCTGTTTACTGTAAATTGTCAATTACCATCTTTAAAAAAGTAGGGATCTAATTAAGAAGAAAGCTTAAAGCAAAAATTAAGGACTACATCAAATTAAGGACTACACAAACACTCCAGAATCTTAAATTATATCATACTGTGAAGGAATTAACCTGCCTTGAAAGGCATTCACAGTAAATTCCCACTTCTTGCAAGCAGCTTACAATTGTTTTCATATTGTTAGTGTATATGTACTGAGATTCTTAACAGCGTCTGAGACATTATAACCTCGTTTCAAGTAAAGCTTGCTACATGCTTATTTCCAAAAAGCAATACTTTTTTTCCCCAAATTTCTAATTCACTTTATGTCTAGTATATTATACTTGGTTGAGTGAAGAATTGTGTTGCTGAGACTCTTTTGTCTGGAAGCACAGCTTACTTTTTATATTCATAAACGGCAATTTTCATGCTACATTCTATAAAAGCCCAGAGGGTGCCTACACAATCTTTGAGCTAGCTGCTGTTTCAGGAGTTCAGTTCTGTTGCCACTTGAACAAATTGAAACACTGTGTGACTCAACTGGATTTCATGGAATGAAGTGTAGTGTGCAGGAGAGCAGTGTATTTGTTTGCTGTGTGCTGCGATACATGTGCTTGTTTTTCCCGTTTATTCTGTATTAGCAGATGTCTGAAAGTGAGGTGGTTAACTAATGTTTTCTGGGAAAAGACTTTCATAGAGGCCTCTGAAAAGGTTTGCTGGAGCTCATGCAGATAAAACAATGAGTACCACAAATTACCTGAATTAAATAACTATGACTACACATGTACAGTACAGTATATTATGTATATTGTAGTATCCTATAATATAGGTCTGAGAAGTGTTTTCTGAAAGTGATCTGTGCTAAAATGCAACAAAGAGACATGATGTGAATAACCTAAAGCGTAAAAGAGTTGGCAAAGATTATTAAAGAAACCTCAGTACCTGTCTGCTTATCTTACTTCTACTCCCCACCTCGCATCGCAACCTTTGTTCATCTGACTCTGGTCTCCTGTTTATCCCCAAGCTCGTCTACACATTAAGGGTGACAGGACCTTCTCTCGCTATGCCTAGAGCTGTGGAATTCTATCCCAAAGGATATCAGAGACTCACCTTCTCTGAGTGCTTTCAAATCCAGACTCAAAACCTTTGTTTTCAGTGCTTTTACTTAATCAGTTCTTGCATTCTAAATTCTTGCTTTCAATTGTGCAAATTTTGTTACCTCTTCTCCTTGTAAACCCTTTTTCACCATAAAATGCTTTGAGGGGTTACTTTTAAGGGCTACTGTATATAAAATTAAGTTTCTTCTTCTTCTCATTATTATTATTTATCAAAACTCCGTCTTTTTGTTTAAGATTCTTGCCCGGTGCTGTGCAGTGGAAATGGGGAATATGAAAAGGGCCACTGCCTCTGTCATCCTGGCTGGAAGGGTCCAGAGTGTGACATTCAGGAGGACCAGTGTATAGACCCTACCTGCTCCAATCATGGCAGCTGCATCAAAGGGGTGTGTGTCTGTATCCCCACCTATAAGGGCACCAACTGTGAACAAGGTAATTTTTAGGCTTCACTTTTTTTAATACTTACTATGTATGGGTAGCAGTTGTTTAAAAAATTGCTACCTTGTACCAAAGAATAGAGTCCATATTCGTTAGAAAACAAGCTATTAAATCCCATAGATTTCTGTTTTTTCAAGAAGAACGAAAGGTATTATTTATATAATGGTAACAATTTTAAAATGCTGGAGACAAAAGATATGTACTAACCTGAATCATGTATATTGAAAAGAATATTGTGACATAAAAAGGAGAAAAAGCTAATTTTGCAAATCACTCATTCACTGGTGTTGTGTAATTATTGCAAATTGTCCATAGTCACATACAGTAGTACATGCTGTCATTAATATGCACATAATAATTGCTGAGTTATGAGTTAAACAAGTAAAATTGTCTTATTTATGATACATGGTAATTTAAACATCTTCGAAATATTGAAAAATACAAATTAGAAGCATTTATATTTTATGATATGAAATTACTAAATACAGACCTTTAAATCACTGAGGTTTCTTACTGTGGTAATCAGTCTAATTTTGTTGTATATGAGCTGTTTTTGTATGTACACTAGTGTGTATAGAAAACATCAGGATTGTCTTTGTTTCTTATTTGTTTTTGCAAAAATATCAGGGAAAATGCATTTGATATAATTATGGCCTAGTCGTATTTCAGATTATGTAAATTATGAATGATTCTCCTCCATGTGCATCACACTCCAGAACCCACCAGATGAATCATGCTCATTTATTCCCTTTATTTGAAAGGGAACGAGAGTTTTGCTCAAACACTTAAATGTATTTTTTTTAAAAAGGATGGATGCTGCTGTTTTAATTGGATTACATTTTTATCATGTTTGCTAATTACAATGCCGAGTTTTTTTTTAAATCAGTAAAAACATAAACCAGTTACCTTAACATATTTCAACCTGGTTCTCAACAAAATTTAATAGAATGAGAACAATAAACAATCTCTGCCGCAGCTTCTTCACTGCGATGTTGTCCCAATTTCAAGTACATGGCCTTCACACTCAGATAATAAACACGCAGATGTTATTTTTCTTATATAAATGGAGCACCATATCTCTTCTTATTAAAAACTCCTCAATGTATCGTAAAATGAATTAGAGTTATTTGTTTTTCATTCAATTGTATTTTACTGTACAGAATAATGTTCCGTGCATAACGTCTACACGTATATGTTTCCTCAGTGGACTGCTTAGATCCCTTGTGCTCTGGCCAAGGCGTGTGTGTAAAGGGGGAGTGTCTGTGCTCGCCAGGCTGGGGGGGTGCGAACTGTGAGACCCCCCTCCCTTCCTGCCGGGAACAATGTTCAGGCCACGGGTCCTACCTGCCAGAGACAGGAACCTGTGTCTGTGACTCCAGCTGGACTGGTAGTGACTGCTCCACAGGTGAGATGTCTCTGGTCAACAGTACCATGTCTTAGGGCAATGGATTGTCAACAGAAAAGGCCACATTTACTCCTGAATATTCATTTCACAAATGACAGACAAATCACAGTTGTGTCGTCCCATTCTCCTCTCACAGAAAAGTGTTACTAAACTGCAGCTAGTGTTTTGTTCAACATCTTTTTTTCAGGCTTGCCTTAGAAACTTAAAAAAAGGTATATAAAATGTCCTATTGAAGCAGTGTAAAGCAAAACTATAGAGTTTAAAACGGAGTTTTACATTCAATGCACTGTTTTCTTTCTTGGTTGTATGTATGCAGGAACATTACGTAATTGCACAAAAGTTGTTTTACCCATGCAGAAATGAGCAAACATGCATCACAATATTTAGAGGCTGTTTTTTTGTGGTTTTGTTATTAAGAAGAAGAAAATGAATAGTAAAAATAAAATTAATAAAATCAGAAAATGGATGTCAGATTGGGAAAATATATTCAATGTGACAAATCTGTTTGAAGCATTTTAAATGTTTCAGTTTATATTTTTTGTGCATACTTGTTTTTATTTACAATAATATGTAAAACTCTCATTAATCTTCCAATTATTTTGTCAGCTTAAAGGGGACAGTTTAACTAATATCTTGGAATCAACTCTCTAGGCACAAGTAAATGATTGTGTTTTCCTAGGAACAATGATTACACATCTATCAGGGGCACCTTAACAAACTTAATTCACAGCTTACTACCAGCACATCTTGTGATAATTTCTTTTACATGCTGAGTGTAAATTAGATTTTGCCTTGTGACTTCAAAAGTATGAACACTTTGTGTTGCTTTGTTTCAAGATATCACTTCATTCCCTCTAGTTCTTGCGGGCATTGTAATGCATTTCTAGGGAAGTATACAGACATATTTTTGCTCATTCGATTTGATTGTTTAATTGTAAAGTTGTGTGCCTCTTTTTGTGTTCTGCAGGTGCAAGTTAGTCTTTATTAACTCATTTGCAGTAGCTTGGGCATTTCAGCCAGGGCATCGGGAATCACTGGCATTCTTCAGGGACTGCCAGTGGATTCTGACAAACACCATTCCAAATCAGAGCTAGTGAATGAAATCAACACTCTGACATGGTGAATACATTCTTACTGCACCCAGAAATGATGCATCTGATTGCAGTTTTGCTCTTTATAAAAAATAATACATTTCAGTGTTATACCATGTTAATTAAGCTCAATTCCTCTGTCAGGAAGAATCAGTGAGAAATATATGTTGGTTTGGCAAAAAATGTGTTTCCATTACTGTATTTAACAGATTATGTAATTTATTTGAAATTTTACAGAGATTCAGAAAACTGGAATTATCTTGAAAATATATGACTTTGAAGAAAGTGACAAGTATATATTTAATAGTTTGTGGACCCTACAAACAAAATATATAAAAGTACTCTTAATTAATTGTACTTAAATCTCATTGAGTGAGAAGAGAATAACAAAACTGATCCTTACTCTTGGCAATAACCATAAACATACTCCAAACCTATTATTTTCAAACAAAAAAAAGCTTATTACCTACCAGCACCAGCAACAGATGAATAATTTTGTACAACTCAGCTTTACTTTATTGGAGAAATGAGTAGCCAATTGAAATTGTGCTGTGTCATATTTTCAAGAGTATACAGATCTAAAAAATATGCACAAAATATATCTTTCTGAAGCGAAGATAATAGGCACGTAAAAGCAGACAGGTGAGTTTCAGAGGTTCTTTCAAAGGTGCCATCTAAATATGAGAATGTCTTGTATCTATTGCACCTTTAATGACAGTTGTTGAATGTAAAATAAATTGCATTGTCTCCTCTACTAATTCACAGCTGAAGTACTCCCTTGCAAAGTCATCAAAATGGTTTGTCATCAGATCTCACACTTGAATGACCTGGAGTCTGTACTTCATAAAGTTAATCAAATTTCATCAACCTGTCTGAAACACTTCTTCCATAATCTTACTCTTCAGCATTTTGTGCAATGTGATGCCTCCTGTTTGTCCATCAAAGTTTGTTTCCTTATATTCCCGAATTCTGCTTCTCTTTTACTTTTTTCTCTGCATAATCCCAGGTACTAAATGCAATTCAATCTGGAAAATGAGTAACTGAGAAAAATGATTATCCTTTTAATATGTCAATGATTTGAGATATTTTAAGCAAATACACTTATGTAGATCATTTTGAAGCTAAAAGCTAAATAAGTATTCAGTTAACAAATGAGCCTAAATTGTGCACAATGCTGAAATTGCATTATGAAAACCAGTTTCTCCCTGGTGGTGTACCAAAAATGATGCCACCTGGTGTCAAGATGTTGGAAATGTGTTCCAAGTGACTCATATATAATTTAATGCAGCTTAATATCCTTCAAAAAATCAAGATAAAACTGAGCTTCTAAAACTAAAACTGAACTTCTTATCTGCTTTCTAATGATTTGTGAATGAAACACTCATTCATTTTGCTGTTTACCTTTGTGAGAACAAAACTCAAAAGCTCATAATATATTGAGCAAGGTGTCAGCAAAAATGAAAAAAGAAAATGCAGTATGCAGTCCAGAAGAAAACATATTTATAAATCTATATACTTTATCCACTTTATATATTCTTTGTTAATGTATACATTGACAGATCACAAAGTTTCTTTGTGGATAGATTATAATTTTTTGCGCAAAAGGATGTTACTTTTAGGATGACAGAGTGGATTGGCGGTTATCACTGTTACTGCCAAACTCTGAGGCCCTGGGTTCAGTTTTGGACAGGCTCTTTGGGTTCATGTTCTCCCTATGATCACATGATTTTCACCAGGTGCCCTGGTTTCCTTTTACACTCCAAAGACGGCTAACTAGTTAGATTACTAGGTGTTTCTGAGTTATGTGTGGGTGTGCTAAGATGGACTACCATCCTATTCAACACACAGTCGTGCTTTCTTTCCTCAAGATCCTTACCAGGAACAAAGTGCTTTGGAGTAGTAGTGGGATTTTCTTTCCTTTAAATAATATGTTATGATGTAATTTTCTTTAAACATAATACTGGTATTTTGTGGGTAAAACACAAAAACAGCACTTTTATTTCTTGCTTCATTTTGTTTTTCATTGTAATGTTTTATAAATATTTCTTGAGCTGTACGTTTATTTAAACCGATAATGTGCAGTTTTAAAAGAGCAGCAAAAGATACAGAATGCTCTGAAGCATTATTAATATCTATGTTTAGGTTCCTGGATGTATATAATTAATAAATGTTTCTAATTTAATAATTATTGCTTCCTTGTGAAGTTGTAAAAATTAATATTCGTATAAATAAAAAGAATCACTAGGGGGATGTTTACTTTTAGTTTTTTTTCTTATGATTAAGTGTGCAGTAGCAGAGAACATTAAGAAAAGCAAATACATCTTGGAGGAGGTTGAGAAAAGAATTGTAATTCAGACGTTGTCATTTAAGCAAGGGTGAATTTCATCTTGAAGTTGTCTTTGGTTCACGTTCCAGGGCATCATTTCGGAATGGAAAAATCTTAATCATTAGTGAATATAAAATGAAAAAAAGTCGTCTTGTTTTGGAACCGCTGCAATAATGTAATTTTTAAAAAGTCATGGTGATCTGTGCAATTTTAATGTAGTTATTAACAGCGAAGTATATTTAAATTGAAATAACTTTTTATTGCATTTGAATAAGTGGCCTTTGAGTGCCTCCAGCAGTTCCTTTACCCAGTGTTGCATAATATGAACTTTCAATTTTCATGGAAATTATTCATTGTATATTATTAAAAATGAGAATATCAAAACTTTGAATACTGTCGTGTGGGATGCTGGCACTTGCCGCACAAGGAAGAAGCTTAAATTTACAGCAAAAATATTAATACGTTTTTTTCCATTTTCAGACTTCAGGATTATGAGACTTTTTTAGATTATTCCATTTTATGGTTAGATACCCTAGGCTCACAAAGCATTAAAAGGATAGGAAAGATTTACTTTAATATTCTTTTAACGTTTTTTAATTCATTCCACTATTTGACAGTATAAAATAACACTACCTAAGGTAAGATTGGCATGGCGTTTCTAAGTTAATGATTTAATAGATGTCTGAGTTAATCATAAAAGAAACTTTGGATGAATTTCTGCCCTTTTAATTTAATGTGTGGAAACATTAAATGTAAAGGGGTGTATTATTTTAATTACGTCCTTCTGTCTTGAATTATAGTATATGGCAGAGGTATAGGTGCTCTAAGTGATTCTTTTGCAGGGTTCTCAGTGTATCTAAACTTTTCTTTCCTTTGCAGAACATTTTCTGACAGAACAGAACATGTTTCATGGCAACATTTTGTCCTTACAGAACATTTTGTTGACACCTTTACTGTTTAGCTCCTAGATTTTTCTGTTGGTTTAATACATCCAACTGGTCGAGATTGGAAGTAAAATAAATAAATAGGTCCAGTTTCTGTAAAAGTAGAATGATAACCACTAGACAATTGTTTTAGTATTGAGTTTAAGCAGCATATGTGGAAAAGCACTACTATATGATATTACAGAAAAGCTTGTGCTTTCATATTGTTAGCTTCTTCAACATTTTATTCCCTAGAATCAATACAGATTCAAAATAATGTGGCTCAGATGAAGTTCAGACATTTTGCAGTGGTCTAGCATGATTTAGATTTTTTTCTTTGCACAAAACCACAATAACAATCTACATTGTTATCTACAGTAACAATCGTGCTTAACATAGGGAGTACAACTCTCTTGTTTTCTCTTAGTTAGATACTTTTTTGTAAAAAAGTCATTTATAAGGTGGAGATGTCCGTACATCATCTGTCAGCTGTTCCTAACTACACACACTTTGTACATACCTAAACACAGTTTTACAGTAAATAGAAGCTAACATTCAGTTAGGGATGGGCATCAATACACATATATACAATTATCTGTAATTTGGCCCAAATGGGCCTTCATTTTCAACTTTTCTTATTATATTCATATTAGTCAGCTGTCAGTACCCTGGTTTAAAGCTCCATCCTGAGCACAACACCTCCTACAGTTTGGTGCTGCCACACTTCTACTGGTCCAATAGTTTCCTGGTTTTCCTTAGAGGTGCCCATCACAATAAAAGCCAGGCCTAGCCTTGCTTAGCTTCTTGGATTTGACACAATCTAGATACAAGGTGGCAATTCTTCTGTCACACACGGTCCCCTGTCTCTTGCAGAGCTGTGCCCTGTGGACTGTGGCAGTCATGGTGTGTGCTCTGGAGGAGAGTGCCAGTGTGAGGAAGGCTGGGAAGGGCCTGGCTGCGACCAGCGTACGTGCCATCCTCGCTGTGAGGAACATGGGCAGTGCAAGGATGGGAAGTGTGAGTGTAGCCCTGGCTGGGAGGGAGAGCATTGCACTATTGGTGAGTCGTACTGTACAGTATATAGCAGTTCCCAGGTCTCCCTATTACACAGTTGAATCCATAATTAACTTAATACGATTCATTGAGTTGTTTTAAGCTCTTGAACATTTCGGAATTTACCTTTTATCTCCTGTATGGTGTTTCATACCGTAACTTTGAAAGTAAGTAACTTAACAGTTCTACTTGTCAAAACAAAGAAAAATGATTATTAGTTCAGTTAAGGCTTTAACTGATTTATATTTGTTATATTTAAAATCATATGTACTGTATTTATAGAACACTCATCATAAAGCTGCTGATCTTTTGGGCATCTCCAAAACACTCTTCCTCAAACCACACATGAAACATAAGAATTAAAAAATAATATTACGAACATGCTAAACTGAAAACATCAGAATCAAAAGCATCTTTATACAACAGACTGCTAGATTGAGTTTAAACGACCCATAACCCATAAAAAGGGTCAGACCCAGTGATGACAACATGTCAGAAAAAAGCGGCAAGGACAAGAAACTGAATTTAGTGTGTTATCCAATATATAATAGAAAGCATATAAAGAACTTTGCTTTAAAAGAGAAAGAAAAAATTTATGTAAACATCAAAGTGATCAAAGTTGAAGGAATGTTATAGATCTTATAAAAGCTAACAAACTGCTTATCTTTTAGCTTCCTAACTGCTTATAACCCTGGCAAGTGGAAACATACCAGGGGGCATCTATAGGTCAGTGGAAAAGTATAGCTCATGTCTTAAATGTAGTAAAAAGGGAAGTCGAATGTCTTGTTTGCGATTGTGAGCAATAACGAAAATCTTAATTAAAAGTGTTTTTCTCTACTCGAGTTTGACTGAAAACTAGTTATTCGTTTTAGGGATTAGGTAATCTGTGTCAAAAGTAGGAAGCCTGTCTGTTACTGTCTATAAAAACTGAGCAACATCTTTCGGGGAGACTAGCTTTTGCAAGCTGCTCTCCCATGTGCACACGAATAAACAGCTCTTCTTTCACCAACACCCAGAGTCTGATATTTTAATGTTTCTTCAAAGTGTAAGCAGAAGCAGGTTCATTTTATATTTCTATGAAAGCAAACATAAATTATATTAGATTCATTGCCAATTATTAGAGTTTATCATTAAAAGTATAGCAAGGTAACCAAGTCAAAGTGGTCACGATCAGTCTAAAATCAGAATCCTTTCTCTTATGAAGGGTTGTCATTTTCCCTACTTCTATTTTAAAACTTGTATCATGGTTATATTAGTATGTTGTTACTACAGAATAAAACAGAACCACAAACTTAAGGTAATTGTCAGCAGTTCTGCAGAATATGGAAAATAGCTAAAGCAGAAACAAAATAGTGCTAGTGAAACCTCACAATGCCAAGAGCTCACATTCAAATTTTCAGAAAAGTAGAATCACAATTAGCTTTTTTCCCTGATGGGGATAGCTTAGCTGAGAAATCATCGGGTTCTTATTTGCATTTAAACAAGAAAATTAAAGAATATGTTACTGCTTCTCTAAAAATATCAAGCAAAGCATAAAACTTTGACTGAAGTGTCCAACGATGGCTGAATGATTTCTTTGCGTATATTGGTATTAAAAAATGAAACATTGCAGTCTAACGGTTTTATTTCTTTTCTCACCAGCACACTACTTGGATGTTGTTGTTAAAGGTATGTTACGTAATTAAATACTAGACTCATACTGTGTGCAGTGCAGAAAACTAATAATGGTTTCACCAAATGAACAGTTAAAAATTATGCACAAGTTTCAGCACTCAAAATTATTGCATATTTTAAGACTGGTATTATTTTATGTATGGGAATTTGTAATGCGTGAAAGATAATGGGTATTTATTAAACTATTTTTGAAATATTACTTTATCCAGTTTTGTTTCAGTCATCCCCTAAAATAAATTATATAGGTTAAATAATTGTAAAATGATGATTGTAATGCTTTGTTGTGTGACAAATGGCAAGCTATGAAGATGTTTCATTCAAGTGATTTTGTATATTCTTAGATTATAACAAGATTCGACTCTATTTTACTTCCTCCCATCCTTTTTACAGATGGCTGCCCTGGCCTCTGCAATGGCAATGGAAGGTGTACCCTTGAGCAGAATGGCTGGCACTGTGTTTGTCAGCCAGGCTGGAGTGGAATAGGATGTAATGTCATAATGGAGATGGTGTGTGATGATAACATAGACAATGATGGAGGTAAGGGTCCTTTGGAAAGAATACTTTATCTCTCTTTAAAGTATATCTGATGTATGGTTCGATCCCTTTCAGGTACTGAAATTCAGAATATTAGAAGTTAATTTGGCAACCACCTTTCATTCCACATAGCTCTTCAAAGCTCTTTGTAGGATTTCTTCCTTTTTTCCTTATTTAAAAAAGTAAATAAACAGCTCTTTACAATTTGCTATACCATAAGCCAAATTACAAAAATACAGTATATGTAATAATTTTCTGCTTTTCAAAAAATCATTTTCGTCATTGAAATTTAAGTTTGTGTTTGAATGCTCTACAGAAGATGTTTGAATGCTCTACAGAAATACAAAAACATGCATATCCACAAAATAAAGAGCACACCTGTGACAAAACCAATAACAAAATTGCATTTTACAGATGATGAGATAGATTTACTGTTCATGGTGTCTCTTTTCTGTTTGGACATTTTGCTGAAGTGTCCAATTTACAATTCCACAGTGGAAACAAAAAATAATATGAAGGAACAAATACAGAAAATTCCATTTTTGAATTCTTAGGGTTTTATTGGGCTGTTGATTTCTGTTTTATACTTGTTTTGGAGAAAGCAGTGTGGGGTAATGGTTAGGGTATTAGACTCTTAACTAGAAGGCTGTGTGTAAATCCCAGATGGGGTGTTGCTGCTGCCTGTATGAATAAGGTAGTTTGCTCAGATTGCTTCAGTAAAATACCCAGCTGTATGAATGGTATTAAGAAGCAGCTGTCACTCTGAGCAGGCTTTCTTGGTTTAGGCCTCTGAAGAGTGCTTTAAGATTAAGGTTATGACAATTCAAAGAGAGATAGGGGTGAGCATTTGTAAGCAGGTTAAGTGCAGGAATTTGCACAAGGTGGCAACGGGGCATTCTGCTGCATCTGTTGTAAATGAGGTTTTTCTTTGAGTACGTTGAAGAAGTCTCTCAGGTTATCTCTTCTAGATTGTGGTTAGATCAGTCTCCCAGTATAGTATGATGTCATACTTGGTTAGATGTCTTAGAACATCTTCTCAGTTAAAGGAGCCAGCCTGTTAAATTATGGTTAAGTTCCATCTCTCTGGGTTTTGTCACAGAAGAGAAGGTGGAATGGGTGAATCATGGTTACCTCTCCCTATGGTTTATCTGCAACGTTTAGCCACTATTCACATAGTTATCTTATAGTTTCTATCTTCCCAAAGTGTACTCCTTCATTAGGAGTTATGGTTCTTCCTGAAGGTTAAAAAGTTTGAAGGTTAAAACAGTTTCTGCTGTTTTATATCAGCATTATTATTAAATATCTCCATTACAATTTAGTCAAAAAAGTAACTGTGTAGACTAGGTCTACTAGAAAGCAACAGCAAACTCAAATGCTGCTGTATCAGAGGTCCTGAGATTGGTTATTCAGAAGTGTCCTGGTCAAACAGGATCTGTTGCACAGGGTTAGGGTTAGCAAATAAGGCTATGTTAAATAACAGGTGATTATCTCTTAAGGGAAAAAAAGACGGGGGGAAGTTTTGTTTTTCCTGAATGTTATGGCTCACAAAACCTGGTGGGGGTTTGGGTGTCATGGTTTCGAGACCCCATGGTTGACTGAAGGAAGGGAGAATGAAATTTTAAGGCATAAATCTGGTGGTTACGACTGCAAGCGATTATTGTGGTGAATAAGTTCATTGGTTAAAACAATGTTAGTAGCCAAGGAGCACTCGCAGGAACTAGAAATAAAAAAGGATAACACCTGGAAGGCAGCCTAGGGGAAGAACTGAGATATTTTTATCTGGGAAAATGAAAGGTTGTGGAAAAATGAATAAATGGTGTGAAGACAAAAAAAAAATTCCCTTAGCACACCATAATTCTGAGGATGTGACTGAAGCCTGGTTGTCCAGTCCTGGAGCAGTGGGATTTTACACTTTTGCTGTGGGAGATTTGTGGTTGCACAGTCTCCTGGAACAACATTGCCCCAGGACTGTGGAATAAAATTCTGGCCACAGACCAGATAACATACCACATTAAATTTATGAGGCTGTGAAACTGTGAGTTACAAACACTGTGTGACGGTTGCCATGGCACTCTCACCTGCTGCAACAAGCAGGTCCCTGCTACAGTGAGTACAAATGTACAGCACTCTGGATAAAAGCATCAGCAAAATATATTAATAATGAAAATAGTAACTTCCAAAGTCACTTTGGTTTCATCTACCAGATTTTGTCAGAGTAGTACCCATGAGGTAAAGATCTGGTATTAAGTCAAAATTGACCTACTGTATGGTCATTAATTCACAATGGGTTAGATTAGAGGCACTAATACTGTTGTAGTTTTAACTAGATAGTGGATATGTTGCTTAACATGATGGAAAGAGAAGGGGGAGGGAAAACCAAAGTTACCACACAGATCCTCTTAAGTATCTTGCTAAATTAGTTACTTTTAATGCTAAAGTAAACATTCACAGCCTCCATATTTCATTTTCTAAATGTGTTTGGGGTAATCCTTATCAAAAAAGTATCCACAACAGAAACAATGATCTCACTCAAGATGATGATAAAGCCTAAATGTAATTTTATTGTAACATTTAGCTTATTACAGTAATAAATTACACTAAACAATATCAAATTAGTTAAATCCTATAAAATCTGTTTTTTAGATAACAATATAGTCAGTTTCAATCTTTAGCAGTAAAATATATTCATTTTTCATGTGGAAAAAAACAAAAGGAATCAAGATGGAGCTGCAATATTCCCCCAGGATTACATATCATGAAAATCAGAAAAAGAAAAGAGAAAATTAACCCTCAGCTCACAGTTGTTCATGGCCAATTGCTCAAATGTGTGTTGGCTCATTGACTTGCATGCAGGATGTGTTACTTTTTCGTGTACACTTTATATGCGATGGTATATAAAGTGTACACAGTACATACTGAACCAAAATAAATATATCACTCTACTTATGCAGTATCTTTAAAAAATAAAGTAAATAGATTATGGGTATTGATTTACTGTTTTTGGCCTCTTGCTGGTAGTGTTAGTGAAAGTGGTTTAATGCTTCTTTCAGTTCCTGTAGACTAACAAGGGAAGGTAATTCAGGATTATACAGCCTCATTGGCCTTGAACATCAATGGAGCTGGTCCTCAGTGCACACCCAGACACACCAAGTTAGTGCTCTGAGACTGAGAGACTACCCATTTTTTACTTGTGGAACAAAACAGATTTAATAGATCAATTCAAACTGTGAGGCAAAACAGAAACATACTGTATATATTTTCTTGTCTTTTAATACATTTCACAATATGGAAGATGTCAATTATTCAGAAATCAAACTTTAGATATTGTGCAGCATGTGTTTATTTGCAGTGGCAGAGCTGAAATTTCTTTTTAATTTTGAGGAAAAAAGTGTCAGTCTTTTCTCAGAGTGGTTCAATAAGTTACTCTTAGCTGTATGTTTTCAACTGTTCTAATTGATGAAGTCTTTTACTGATATCTGATTTTGGCTAAGTGCACTTTTTTAGATTCAGGTAGCGAAGCATGGCATATCATTGCAATTAGGAATATCGAAGAGTTTTCCTACTTTTTTATTTTTGGAGTATCATGTCACAACAGTTCACAACATCTGTTAACCAACATCTGTCATTGCTAAATGTTTGGATAGAATAAAATATTGTCATAATCTTCAGTTTTAGAAACACTTTAGAAGTCTGATTGTAAGAGTTCAGGTGGATGTTAGAAAATTAAAACAAGAAACATAGAAGATGCTTTGTTGGGTTTATACAAAAAAAAAACCTGTTATTAAACAAACCCAGACCTCTTACTGGGGAACATTGGCAGACGCAGTTTAAACAGACTATTTATCATTTTCAAGATGCATTGCAAGTCTGGGGTTAGGTGCCATATCTGACAAAAGCCCTTACTTCCCCCACTTCTCAGTTACTCTAAAGCTGACAATTCCCAGGAAGAACAGGAGAGATCTTCTGGCACAGATGAAACTCTTTAATCACTATCTTTATCAGAGGAAATGATTCTGTCAGAGAATACTGCACAAAGCTATGCTTTTTTATTTTTTCTTTCAGTATCCTTATTCACCCCTGGTATACTGTATGGTGTTTGTTTTTCTTCTATTTTTTCCACAGGGATACTGTGAAATTTCTGTGGTATCCCTAGTTGCAAATTAAGTTATCTGTGCCAAGGCTGACATTATAAAGTTTAATTTTGAATTTAATAAACAACTTTTTTCTCAGGAGTACTGTGCAGTAAGATCTCGACATCTGCAAATTTAACTTTCACAAATTTGCTTATTTGCGATTCGGTCTGGCCAATGGGGTCTCGTATGGAAGAAAAGCAGAGCGGGATCAAACCAACCTGAAGGTTGTTAACCGCAATTTAAAAATTAGTGGTACAGCCGACTAGAAATAGCCTCACCCTATCTCCTGGCCAAGTACTTGCTACCCAGCATTTGCATCTCAATGTAGTTTTCTTTTCATATTGTTACGAACACTCCAGGTTCTGTGTTGGCTGTGTGGAGAATGACAAGCTACTGTAGAAACAACAGGCTCAAAGACCCACTGAGAGTTTTATTGTTGGTTTCATAACAGTGGGGTGTGCTAATCATGGAGGCAGAGAGAGAAAGTGCAGGCTGCAAGCGGAGGCGGAGTTTGTGTTTATCTTACCTGATTACTGTAAGTTTATGTTTGCTGTTGGGTTTTTTTTTAATTGATCATTTTTATTTAATGTAAAACCAATGCATTAGTACTTTAATTATCTTAAAAGAGGTGTTACTTTATTTCTTTTAACCATACACATTATATACTGTAGTAGGTTATGCAACAGTATAGGGGTGAACTTGTTTATGCATAAATTTTTCCTTTTGTAAAGGTTCTCTGTATCAAAACCTCACGAATATAAAGACCCTTCTCTATTTCCTAGTTTTAGATAGATAGATTATACTTTATTAATCCCATAGGGAAATTTATGTTTCACGTGTTAATTTGATTTTAATGCATGGTTCTTTAAATCCTGTGTCTGCAATCCTTCATGTTAATGGATTAAAGGTTGTTTTTTCTGGTTGTTCTTTTTCTACTTTTACTCTAGTTTGACGATGCAAAAAAAGAAAAATGCAATTCAACCAGATGTTGGTTTGAATGGAAAGAAATATTCAGCTGTTTTCAATTACTCACTATTGAAATCTACATCCAAATCCAAAACATGTTTTTGTCTTCATTTGATCAAGAGCTCATTAGTGTTACCATTTATATCCTTAATGAAGCCTCATTACAGCTATTGATATGAAAACTAAATGGCAATTAATGACCTTACGCAAATAAAGTGATTAAGAGATTATCTGACAAAGTTTAGCCAGCTGCACATTTCTGAGTTTATAATCATAATTTGAGTTCATGATCTGATACTTTAGTAAATATATTTGAAATTTCAGTTTACAGAGATCTGTTGGAAGTAATCGGGAAGTATTGAAGTCTGTGAAGTCAGTAAACTGTCTTTAGTAAAATAAATGCATTAAGAAAAAAATATGCATCATTTTTTTATGAAGATGTTTAAAACAGATTTAGCCATGTATATTAATGGACTTTCACAGAATTTTCCATTGACATACTGTAATATAGGGATTTGCAAATTGCATTGCCCTTTGAACTGTGAATCCAACACTGCTAATACAGAAATTATTCCAAATTATTACTCGTTCATAAAAGTAAACTCATAGTCATCCTGGTTACTAGCTCTAATTGGAGAGTACACCTGTTCTCTTGAAATATATTCCAATTTATCAAGGCTTACAAGAATGGAATCCAAACTATAGTAAAGACCTCTTTTGGCTAAGTAACCCATTTTAAGTTTGGGAAGTGTTCTTGTTAGGAGTCTCACATGTTCATTGTCTGTTTATTGGTACATATCAACAACTGGTATCAGATTTAAAAAGTCTGCCAGTTGTGTTTTTCAATATAGCTGTTTGTTTCAAGCAAAATTTCTTAATGCGTTTTTTGTAATTGATCATAAATTAAATCATGGTGCTAATAGACAGCACATAAGGATGGCAGGTTTTGTTTTATGGCTTGTGAATAAGTAAAAATAATGGAACACATTTAATTTGATAAGTCTTTGGGGAATCCATTAGTCTTTCTGTAGGTTTTCTTTTTGTTTCCTCGGGTAAGGTTCATATACAGTATACCCTGAGTTAGAAAAAAGTAAATACATTTAACCTGAGTAAATTATAATTGCTATTTATCCCTAGGTAGCGTTGACCTAAAATTTGGTTATCTAGCAGGCAGTATGTCCTAATTTTCACTCATTTTAATCTTAACAAACAACCAATGCCCCTCTAGACATAGTTATCATTAAGGCTGTAAATTTTGAGTCTCTATTGATTTAGGAGTACATTGTTGTTAAAAAGAAAGTAATTGGATGTTGTATTGGGAGCATAAGGTTATCATTTTAAGCAGGCAACTCCAGAGATATTATGTTCCAAGAAATTTTATTTCTGATGTTTATGCAGCAGAATGTCTCATGCCTGCATCGAAATCAGTTTCAGTTCTATACTGTATTCTGTGCCTGGGACATAGTTGAATCATATAAGTTAAGGTTAAAAAGGTTAAATTCTAATTATTGTTTGAGTAACAACTTGGATAACACTGTGTTTTTTATATCACAAGGTGTGCTTTTTATATCTTCTATTAAAATACATAAATTATAACTATCTTCTCCAACATTTGTGGTACAAATTACTAATATTGAGCATTAAAACTTATTTTTCCCCATCAAATTCACTGCCACTCTCACAACTCAGAAAGATTACAAATTGAATTCAAGCTTTATTGTCCCATTGGAGAAATTTGTTTTACAGCCACACTCCCAACATAACAACACAATGACAGACAATTGTGTTGTAAATCTGTAAATCTGAGATTGCAGTTTATTCTCAGATGTGATTTAATTGATCATGTACTCCATACTAAATGTTGGTGTTTAATAAGCTCGCTTTTCAGTTGTATGCTACAGCCATCATTAATCTTCATCTGTTTATCCTACTATGGCATTTATTTTTCTTTTGTCATAGAAGTCTGTAGATGCAGTTTTATAATGTGCAGCAATGAAAGTGCAAAAGAAAGTCAATTTTAAGATAAATCTTACTGAAAGGAGTATGCTTTCATTTTGCCTTTTTGTTGTCTACACTTTGCTCACTGATTTTGTTTTACTGTTATTTCATGCTATTGTTATATGTAGCTTTTGCACTTATCAGGATACAAGTGCCTGCCAAATAAGTAAAAGTAAACTTAAATGTCTGTTCTCATGGTTCTGTGGCTTGCAGATGGCTTGATGGACTGTGTCGATCCTGACTGCTGCCAGCAGGCCACCTGCTACAGTGGGCCTCTGTGCCAAGGTTCACCTGACCCTCTGGACCTCATCCAGCAGAGTCAGACGCCCTTTATCCAACTTCCCCCACGGCTCTTCTTCCAGAGAATCAGGTTTCTCATCGGCAAGGACACAACTCACGTCCTCCCTGGGGAGATCCCTTTTGACACCAGGTGCAACTCCCTTTCACTCCCTTTTTTATAAGTAAATGAATTAAATCAGACTAATATGTTTAATTTCAGCAGGCGTTTCTGATGGTGAACAGCATAACATAACAGTTTTTAAAATACCACATTCAGGGGTTCAAATGAAAAAGAAAACTGAAAACTAGAAGAAGCATTAAATGCCCCTTTTCTTAAATTTTGTTTAGTGAATTGTCTCACATTATTGTAGATTACTGTTTATTTTATGCTGTCATCTGAATGCTAACTGATCTTAAGAAAGGATTGAATTCATTGGGGTTTAACTAATTAAAATGTGCTTTGTTACTTATTTAATCACATTAATATGCAGCAGTAGATTCTATATCATATAACAAGCTTTAAAACCCTACTTGGTCTTGCTACATGTGAGTTTTTCATTAAGATTTTCTCACTGCTGGGATTTAGGAGAGTAATATATTTCCTGAATACTGAGTAAGTCATTTTTTTTGGTAACAGGGTACTTTGAATATAATTTGTTTCATATTACAGAAGACACCATTTTAACTACATGAACGTGTTTTAAAAAAACAGCTCCTTGTCTGAGAGAAAATTGACCCATAGTATGGCCACTCATTTGGGCATTACTGTATGTGGGTCTGAGCAGGGAGTTCAAATCGACAGCAGCAAAGCACTATTATGCGATGTGCACATGGGTTTTTCATTGCCTGTTGACCTCTGTGTTTGTGTAAAACTTGAAATATTACTTTTCAAAATAATGTGTAATATACATACACCCATTACCCCCAAAGCACCTGTATAAAGCCATGTTGAGTTCCATCAAGTGACCTCAGCTGCCTCAGGCATTTTTTTTTTGTGCTGTGAAGGTAGTCCTATTTCTTAACTAATAATTATCATTTCTTTTCAATTACTACAGTAAATGTGTATTTGATGTGTTTTTGCTTTATCTTCCTAGTTCCATGGAGGAAATAAGGCAGCAACAATGTTCTTCCATTTTACCATGGTCATTGAAATTTGTGAACTATAGCATTTTAACAAGCATTCTCCCAGCAAAATGAATTATGTGTTGGTCAGTTAAGTGCTGAAATCTAATACGGTTTATGAAATAAGGTTGTGTCATCTTTCTCTAACAGTCAGTTGTAGTCCTTTGGTTTCTTAAATTCATGTTCATTTTTAAGTAAACATAGTGAACTTGCAATATTTAATATAAATATTTTAGGTTCACGCAAAACCTTTGAATATTTTTATTTGCTCATTTCTAGCCTTGGAAATTCAGCATTTGTTTCTAACTCCTTTTAGGAAATATGAGGCAAACTTTCTTCCCATGGTTTAGTGTGTGTCTTTAATTAAGCATCAGTGTGAGACGGAACTGAATAACTGAAAAGCTGAATTGTGTAACCTAGAACTCCTGGAGTGGCTGAGTGGTGCATCAGTTCCCTCACCTCTGAAGACAGGGTTTTAAGACTTGAAGCTCGAGCAGCTTGTACTGTAGATATTAGTTCATATAACAAAGCAGTCACAATTCAACAAAACTGCTTTTTCAGAAGCCATCCTGAGTCAAGATGCCGAGACCCCAAGTGTAGGTCTAACCCAGGATGACAAGAAGGAGGAAAACACATTGAGGCTGCATTTCGTTTGCCTGCATTTTGTGACGCAGAGAACCTTCCTTTCCAGCAGCATATGTTATGAATGTAAATCTTCATATGGCCTCTTAAAATAATAACAAAGAAAACATTGGATTACAATCATTTTTACAGAAAAAAGGATGTAGATCCATGTGATCCTTTTTTAGTTTGTGTAATATCATAAGGAATTTAGTTTTACTTTCTTTGGTTTTATTCCAAACCAAGCCTTGATTGTCAAGCCTTGATTCCTGTGTTTGCATCTAGTCGCTCTTCAGTGATCCGAGGTCAGGTGGTTGCAATCGATGGGACTCCGCTGGTTGGCGTCAATGTGAGTTTCTTCCACCATCCTGAATATGGCTATACCATCAGCCGCCAGGATGGCAGGTATGCGTCTGTTTGCTCCACTCTTACCTCTTCATACTGTATGTTTTCTGTGGTGCACGGTCTGAATAATTTATCTGTCATTGAGATATTGAATAAATAACCAAGGTGCTCCTTTAAAATCATATTCAGTCACTTGCTGCACATTGATTACTCACTGAAGAAACGAAATGAGAGAACTTGCCTGTCATTGTTAATTTAGGTGTCAGCTCTGAAATTGCAACCAAATTGACTAATTGCATCCTCCATTGCATCCACATTCACAGCTTCCTCCCTTCAATTAGCAACAGCATGGAAATCAAGCAAAATTACCAAGCCTGACCATTGCATTGCTTGAAAACAAATAGTCTTTTTCTCACTATGTATAGCTTAGCAGCTATTGATTCAACTAGAGTTCACAGAGATATGTTTTCAAATATTGCTTACTCATAGAAGCACAGCATTATCTATGTACATTGCTGCTCATAGAAAGGACTTACATGCAAATGATTACCATTGAGTAGATTTTTGGAAATATTTTGGCAGCCCATTCCAGATTATAATTGCAAATACAGAAGCAGAAATTGAATGCGGTTTTAAGACAAGACACTTCTCAATAAACCCACACATGACTATCATTAGCCATAACATGTGGGCTGTTGTTGAATTTCCAGAATTAAAATTATACTGTTTACACATAAGTTTCTTTTTGGTTCATTTTTACAGTGACATCATCATTTTGAATCCCTCGGTCAATCTTGTAACATTCGGAAATAAATACCATTGAAAAGCTTGTTATTCTCTATAAAATTGTTATTCTAGTTACCCCCAAGTTATTTTTTTAGATTGATTTCATCATTGTCAACATTTATTTTATTCAAGCTAGGTCTCAAAAAGACTTTTGAGAACTTAAAATGAATTGCACAGCATGGAAAAAAAAACTTCTTAATGCACGAATGGTTTCTCAGTTAATGATAACAAGCTATCCTTCCTGGTTCCAGACAATATAATCAGCGTGAAGCTGCGAAAAGAATTTTCAGATGAAGAAAGCCTAAGCAACAAAGTACTGTTTGATTGCTGCTGGTCCTTTCTGTCAAGCTAATTGCTGTTTTCCTCACTGCACTTCTGATGAGTGAAGTTTTAAATTCACTCAGTTTAACAGGGTAAACCTATTGAGCACCATGGCAGAATTGACACCCTACTGATATAAAGTATTATTATCAAATCTTTTCCCTAACACCTTATGTTTAAATTTAGTCAGACCATTTTGTATTAGGGTCCACAGAGAATAGACAAATAGATGGATGTACTGTATATATACAGTATATAGATCTCCATTTTCCGAATTAATATGGAATTAACATATTTTCATGTTCATTTTTTTCGTTTATTCTTTCCCTACCTTGCTTTTGGCTTTCAGTTTTGACTTGGTGGCTGCTGGGGGCATCTCCGTCACGCTGGTCTTTGAGCGGGCTCCTTTCATAACTGAGAGACGGACCGTCTGGTTGCCATGGACACAGTTTGTGGTGCTGGACAAGGTCACCATGGCAAGAGTGGAATCTCCCAAGCCCACTTGTGACATGAAGAACTTTATCAGTCCCTACCCCATTGTCCTTCCTTCCCCTTTGACCACATTTGCTGGGTCTTGTTCTGAACGGGGACCGGCTATCCCTGAGCTGCAGGTAATGGAGTTTGGATTCAAGGACACAGTTCAGGTTCATTACATTCTTAAAGGAAATGTTATTCCGTGCCTGGATTTTTAAGCCTAATTGTATGCTTCTTACAGCTGAAGTAAATTCCTCAAGTACAATTACAAAATATTAGGAATATCTAGCTTAAACATTTGCTGCAAATGTAATCCACAGCCTTTGGGGTTTTTTAGTTTTTTTTTTACACTCATGAAACATTTAAGCAGTGCATTTTACATATACAATATTATTAATTGTCCTGACTACTTTCTAAACAGTTTATTCCCAGTTACAAAAAAGGGGTATGAATAATTATAAAATAATGTGTATCATCAAATTTCAGACAAGGATTTTACAATAATACACAAGTACACAAGACACAATAATGTACAATTACACACAATACTTTTCACTAACAGTACTGACAGATATTTCTCATGCTGTAAGCATCGGAGTCCTGCCTCAAACATACTATAGAAAACACATAACTCTTTCTGAAATCAAGGCACAAAAAAACTTTAAAAGGGTAAAAAAGGAAAGTACTTGAAATGTGTCCTTTCAAATCAAAGGGATCTTGCCCAAGACTGAATCATTCTCAACAATGAAATATTTGCCCAGTCTGTCAATTCCACAGACAAATATATAAAAAACCTAATCTCTTTACTTAAAGCCTAAAGTGCTCTTCCAGTCTTCAGATACCTCTCCCTGAATATTCTCTTTCTCTGTCCTCTGACATTTCTCTCCAAGACTGGCTTAGTGACCTCAAGAAGAATGACCTGGTATCTGTAAAATATTGATGTTCTAAAATAGTTGCTGTAATGATTTATCAGAGAATTGGTTTAACCTCACTTAACAATTAGTACACTGTTTGGCCATATTTGCTGCTTCAAGAACCAGGGACAGCTGCACACTTCAACAGTGTCCACTGTATCAAACCTACAGCTATGGGAAATACAAACACTTAGCTACTCCCAAACAAGCATCAATACTAATTTATTTCACAACATCACTGAAGATTTTGATAAATGACATTTTAATGTTTGTCTTACTAGAGAACGTGATACATCTATAGTTATGTATGACAGCCAAATATTACAAACTATAGTTTATAACTAGGAAGTAAAATCAATATTTTGTGAAGCAGTAGGATAAAAGTTGATAATACATTAAGGAAAAAGTTGCATCTATAATGTTAAGTCATTTTCACCTGGTATGCTCCTACTCCATACATGTGTACTGCTCTAACAGTTTAACAGTAATTAGACATTTGTGCACATTTTTCTCAGCCTGCCATCTGCTACAGATAATTCAATTCCCCCGAAATGTATGTGCCTTCAAAATCTATTTCATGTGGCCTTCTGGATCACCCAGTTTATGGTGTCCTCTAATGAGATACGTAGCTATTTAGAATGAGAAGTTGCTGATACTCCTTGCAGTAATAACAGAATATAATGCTTAAGATGTCAGGTACTGGCTAGCATCGATAATGGCTGGAGCAGGAGGTGTTTTATCTGACTAGTCCAGTGTGTGCTTTGCACTGATAGTTTGTAATGGCAAAGATATTGGAATCACATTCATATTTGAGGGCAATCAATGAAAATTGAAGCTGGATTTCAGTCTAAATCTTACTGAGCACTAAACTCCATACAGGATTAAACATAAAATATTAGCACAAGAGATGGGGAAAGAAGAAAAAAGTATATATTTTACAATATTTTGATGTTCTAACTGTTTTTCCATTAACTTAAAAAATATTATAACCTGTCATAAAAATATCATTTTGAGAAATGCAGTATTTCAGCTTTTCATACTGACATTGTTATTTTTGTTGTAATATTATAAACATGTAAAATGTAAAACGTCATTGCTTTTGCGCACTTCACTACTATACACACTTTATTACTGACAGTCCTATTTGCACTGATCAATAAAACACGAAACTCACCGCAGTAACAGTATACAGTGAGAAAACAATATGCTTTATGATACAAGAAGCTACAAAAGTAAAAACAGAGTGGAGTGGAAAAAAGCATGTTTGTACAAAATTCTCTTGATTTAGGAAAACAAGTTTGGAACGATGTAATACCTTCTGTTCTTACTGGAACACATTGTCCTTCTACTCTTAAGTTACTTAGACAATATTTACATAAAAGCTAATATTATCTTTGAATATATAATGTATTAAGATTTCTTTCTAAATTAATTGAAAAATATCTGACAAAAGCTACGCTTTCTCCAACTAAAAGTGACTACTGTTTTGCAGTGCTGTACATACTGTATGCATATTTTTGTCTGTAACACATTTGTATTGGCTGTTTTTGTGTTAATTGTTAATAAGTGTTAATTTTGTGATCACATTTAGTTTTATTTTTTTTTCTTACTGCTTATAATGAGGAGATTTGGGCAAACCAATGTTATTTCGTTTCCAGTATCTGAATTAATTCTGTCTGTTAATTACTGGGAACACAGTACCACATGCACATTGTTGTTTTTTTCAGGCTGTTCATGAAGAAATCACCATTCCTGGCAGTTTTGTGAAGCTCAGCTATCTCAGCACTCGCACCCCTGGCTACAAATCCTTGCTGAGGATTATCCTAACCCATTCTACTGTTCCCATGGGTCTCACAAAGGTGCATTTGATGGCCACCATTGAGGGAAGGCTCTTCCAAAAATGGTTTCCAGCTGCTCCCAACCTGTCTTATATCTTAGCCTGGAATAAGACTGATATCTACGGGCAGAAAGTGTCTGGCTTGACTGAAGCAATTGGTATGTCAGCTACACAGTTATCATCAGTTGCAATAAAAATATCCTAAACAGATGGTCATTATTTTCTCAGACTATTTAATATAAGATGAACATTTTGTTTACATATTTAATGTGTCCTATTAGTTACCAGCCTGCTAAGGGTTCATTTTAAATCATCCTTTATCCCTAGCACTCTGAAAGCAGTCATACAATAAAAGCAAGTGATTGCAGGAGACCTTCAGTTTTAATGAAACATTCTGAAGCTCTTCTAAGCTACTATATTTTAACTGTGGCTTATCTGCTTACTTTCAAATTTGAGACATTTTATTTATCTAAAATGACCCTGAAAAACGTTATTTTATTAGATGTGAAGAAATCAATTTACTGTTGTAATGTTTCATGATGTACAGTATTCAGATATTTGACTGGTACACATTTTCAAATTCATAGCAAAAAGTGTTGAGTGGTGTTATCACTTTAAAAAAGGTCATTTTAAATTCAGCTTGAAAGCTGTAGTGGACTACAGATTATGAAGCCAGAACATTTAAATTGCTTACTTTTTTTCTGTCCAATAGAGACATTTTTTCTTTCATACAGAATTTTCCTATACAGTATACTTCTTGCTCATTCTTGATGACATTATTAAACTAAAACCAGATAGACATGTACATATGGTTGCCTAATATTTGCTTGCATTGTATTGCTCCTGCCTTGTATTGGCAAACTATGTAATATGGTATTTGTATTGCTCCGTATAGCTGTCCCCATAGTGAACAAAGTGTTAATCTTACAGATAACAATATACATGATATTTAAAAACTAGAATGGTCTTTTGTGGAAATTCTAAAGACTAAAAGCCTGCTTAATCATTGTGACAGCAGTGATAGTCAGACACCAATACAGTGCTTGCTAACATGGTGTATCCCGATTATATATGTAATCCAGTAACCACAGGAGAGACACATGAGCCTAGACAGTGGAGGGTCTCTTGGGAGATGGCAAGCGGTGGTACAAAAACAGAGAACACCACTACACCACAGTGGATATACAAAAACAGGGGGAAATGCGGTCGCATTTTAGCCTTTCAGTGCCTTTATATAATAAAATGTTGGCCAGTGTTACTCTTGTTCTTGTGTGTTTTTTTAGCAGTATTATTTATCACCCTTTTATAAACTGGTATTCTTAGTCACTGTGAAAAATGGATGATCTTTTATTTTATTTTTTTATATAAAAATATAGTGAGTTATATAGTGAGTTTGGTTACATATATGCATGTTAAGTTTTAGAAATCTTCAATACCCACATAACCAAGTGATTATATAGGCATATTGTACATATGTATTGTTGCATGAATATTGTAATCTACAGTACTTTACAAGTCATGTTTTATAGTCTGACAGTCAAAGAAAAAGAAAAAATAGTAAAGGTTTAAAATGCTGTACTGTATGTATGCTACCAACAACACTATACTGCAGAAATGTAGACCTCTCCACTCATCTTCAATATGCACTGTCACACTGATACTCAGTATTTTCACCAGAAATGTTTGCCTCTTTCAGTGTCCGTTGGTTATGAATATGAATCATGTCCTGACTTCATTGTGTGGGAGAAGAGAACTGCCCTGTTACAGGGTTTTGAGATGATAGCCTCTAACCTGGGCGGATGGTCTTTGGACAAACATCACATCCTGAACTTGCAAAGTGGTAAGAATCCATACTGCTCTTTGTCTTTCTATGATTATGTACTGTCATGTTTGTGGTACAAAACTTTTAACCTGAGTATATGATTTGATCATTCTTGCTTTTTAATTAAAATAATCTTATGTCTCTAGGAATTCTACACAAAGGAAATGGGGAGAACATCTTTATTTCCCAGCAGCCTCCAGTTATAACTACTGTCATGGGTAACGGTTACTATCGTACAATCCCATGTCCAAGCTGCAATGGGCCTGCACTGGGAAATAAACTCTTCGCTCCTGTGGCAGTCACCTGTGGTCCTGATGGGAGTGTCTATGTAGGAGATTTTAACTTTGTAAGAAGGATATACCCAAATGGTTATGCTATCAGCATCCTCGAACTGAGGTATGTTAGAAACAGATTTCCTTTTCAAGAACAACATTGATGATTTAGAGTTTCTTTCAGCTTCAAGTGTTTGTGTTTTGAGGGCAAGTAGATTATGGAAGCCATGTACTGTAATCTTTTATTGCCCTTAAAAGACAAGGTTTTATTTTGAGCCCCTTTTTCATTCCTGAAAATCTTTTTACCTCTCTTACCCTCTAGTACTATTCTCTCATGAAATCCAACAGAATATTTTTTTCAAATTGATGCTCTCAGCATGTACAGTACGATAGAAGGATATTAGACAGTTTTCCTTAGGGAAAAATGGAAGCAACCTTATTCCTGCTCAAAACCTCAAGCAAAAAAAATTGTTTCTACATTAAAAGTAAAAGATAAGATGACTTATTAATAAATAATCTGAAGCTGATGAACATCAGTTATTCTTTGTTACAAGTTAATGGACTTCCATTCCATACATTTCATTTAATTCATTTTAAAATATAGCTGGCAATGACAAGCTTTTGTCACAATATTGTGTTATTTTGCTGCATTAAATATGTATTTTTTTGTCTTTTTTCAATTCTTGATTGTGTCCTTAGAAACAGAGACATAAGGCACAGGTATGTATTAAATTCCATAATTTAATCATTTCATGTGCTGCTTTACATTTTGATTAAAGCTGCTTTTTTTAGTTAAAATGACACCCTGCTTATCTTTTAATTTTATTTAGATATTTATGTTTTGTTTATTTAATCTGGCTCAGTACATCCACTTCAGTTTGGTTAAAATTGTCCCTTATGATAAGTAGAGACGTTTGTTTTTATTTTGTTCTTGAGGAAGAAATTACTCAGAAAGTACTAAGAAATTAGTATAGGGGTTTATTGATCTACACATAAACATTGTGCTGCGATTAGGACATCTTCTGTCTTTTAAAATAATGATCTGGGGTATTTAATGTCCACAGGATGCTGTAGACTAACATGGGTTCATGTTTATTCAAGAAGCAGAATCCCATATGACTATGGGTCCTATAGTACTCCTGAAGGTCATGTACAGTACAGACTTTGCTATGATAGGGTGAAATCTTCCCTACAAATTTAGCAAAGTCTTCCTCGTGTCTTAACTCTAGGGTCCAAGATACATGTAAATATGTTTTATTATTTTTGCATTTCATCAACACTACACCTGCAAAACATAATCTGAAAATGTTATCAGATTACAGTTTACAATACAATACTAAGACTTTTACAATCAGAATCATTCTTTCAAGCAAAAACCAACTTGGGACAAGGCTTATGCAAGATTTTTTTGTTTGCTATTGTTTTAGCTAGCAATGTAGGAGTTTTATTTTAAAAGTTTGCATATCAAAGATAATAGACACTAGGGAACTGGTTTTATGTATCCAATAAAATTTCGTTATTTAGCAAGACAGGTGGTATGTGCATCTGTTTTAAGTTTTTTTATTATCAGTTTTAACAACTGTCAGACACAAAGACACTTGTCAGAAAGGTTGTTTGAAATGACAAACATATGTAGCAATAAAATTTCAAAAAATATAGAGTATAGTAGAAATCTGTTCTTCTACAATAGGTTTACAGGCGGAAAAACTGTACTGGAAAATTGACTCTTTATTATAATATGAATATTAATTTGTTTTCCCTGGATGTCTTGTCAGAAGCAATTATGATAGTCCAGCTAGATTCTAGGCCACAACATCTAGATTGAAACAAAAAAGATATTTACTACATATGCACCAATATATTAAATAATGTGAATATGGTATGTAGTGTAAACTAATGCTTTAACTTTACAAATCGGAGAATGTTTTGATTAATAGAAGTGAGAGAAATGTGTCCCATGAATGTGTAACAATATGTGAGCTTCTTTCACTCAAACTAGCTCATGCACCTTTTACTTGTGTATACATCCATTGGAATGTCTACTAATGGGCATTTTACAAGTCTCTGATAAAACAGGGAGCAGTAATGCAATCTGTGTACCAACTTCCATTTCATATCAATAAGCAAATGTATTTTTTCTGTTGCATTAACAAAAAGAAGTTTAGGCCTTGAATTAAATAGACTTCTTTTTGTGTTCTTGTGTGGAACAAACATAAAAGGTTTTAAGGCTTGGTTCATTTATTCACTGTTTTACACAGGTTCCTGCATACCTAGCCATGAAGTATAAAAGAGCTTAAATTGTAAGGAAGTTAAGGGAAAACAACGTTAATGATTCACAATAAAATTATGATAGTGATGATGGATGTTTTTACTTTTTTATCCAGCACAAGTCCAGCTCATAAGTATTACTTGGCTATGGATCCAGTGAATGAATTCCTATATCTGTCAGACACCAGTAGCAGAAAGGTCTACAGACTGAAGTCTCTCGCTGAGCCCAAGGATCTGGCTCGGAATTTTGAATTGGTGGCTGGAACTGGTGAACAGTGCCTTCCCTTTGATCAGAGTCATTGTGGAGATGGGGGGAAAGCATCAGAAGCTTCTCTCAACAATCCTAGGGGTAAGTCTGCCACAGAATTCATAGAATTCTTCATAGTTAGTTAGACACATTTTAAAAGTTTAAGTGAATTGGGCTAAATCATAATGTGTGCATGAGATGTTCCTTAGATTAGTGGTCTACAGCGACTTTGTCTGGGAAAAATGTGTTTGGGAAAATGACAGTCCTATTTATACTTCTGCAAAAGTTTCATACACAAATTCAGCACTGATTACAGTTTCTACTGAACAGAGAGTAGGTGTGGAAAGTGAGATTTGAGGTGGTGGTTGTTTTTCATTTATGTATTCTCCCAATGGTAAATAGCTTGCTGTTATCTTGATCAAAGCCCAGCTTCAGTGCAGTTCAGACCATATTGCTATGATGAATAACTCATTGGTCTGCCAAGCACAGACAGTCTGCTTTTTCTTGGTGGAAATGTGGAAATGAAAAGATAAAAGGGTTGAAGAAAAACAATAGTACTCATATTTATGTAGAAACAAATATGTTTAAATATGTTCAACAAAACTAGATGCAAACTACGTATTTTGAAGTAATACGATAAAACAAAAAATGGTAACCCTTGTCTCTCATGATACATCATGTTGATGACTTATCACTTTAGACTGGAACCACAGCACCATGGAAATGGCACTGTACTCAGCATACTTGAAAATCAGAAGCATCCTTTGTACGCCCTAATGAAAATGAATAAAATCGACCACAATAATACATTATAGCCTTACAAAGTAATTCCAGACATGTTTTGTTCTGCCTCTACATCATATGAGCCCTATAAGATAATTTTTCTGTCACTTTCATAAAAAATATTCCAGGCTGAAAGCATAATGTTTTAGCATTCTGTGTGTGCAACACAATGCAAATATAATATCTCAAAAATTCCATCGAAGGCATTCATTTATGTTTTCATTTTTTCATTTTCTTCTTGGCATTTGAAATTCCATTGAACAGTCTCAGTGGGAAGAACATTTGTAATTAAAAAAGAAAATGTACGTCTTTCCATGATTAGTATTAATAAGTGTTTTGTTTTCAGACACGTAATTAGCATAGGATTTAATTACTAAAATTGCAGATAAGGTAAGTCCTTTAGCAATAGTGGCAAACAGAAATGAGAAAATAAAAGACCCAACACAAAGAGTCTCAATGCTTCACTGTGAAGCATTTTTAGAAAATAATTTGAGTTTCATAAGTATGTCTGAAGGAAGTCCTTGTAATGTCATTAATTTTTGAGGCTTTAGCCAATTGATGTCCAAATCCTCAAATCTCTCCAGCTTTGAAGTTCAAGTAGAGTCACTAAGTTTGCCTAGGATCGAAATTCCTGTGAATTTTTTAAACAGCTAATGTGTTTAAAAATGAGGTTCAGAATAACACGAGCAAATAACTGAGGATGGATTAATCTCTGAGCTACTTTCTATGAGGAGAGACGTCTGTTTTTGATGCCAAGAATTATTGTTATGTAGACCCCTTATCTGCTCAAAACCGGGCAGAGAGCAGCTTAGCTTGCACCACACAGACCCATTTAAGATCAAAATGGATTCAGATTCAGTCAGCCCAGAATTCTGAGGTCCCGTAGCCCAAAGGTGGAAGAGTAATGCCTTTATCACGTAGTAACATACTGTAACTGCCGCTCTCTTTTGAGCAAAGTGTTTTCCCAGAGCCCCTATTACTGACTCATGCATTTGTAGTACGACAACAGATGTGAGGGGGCACAAATCCACATTTTGAAAGGAGAAGCAGGTTGATGTGGGTAGAAAATTACGCGCTGTGAAGAACAAAAGTGCATAAATGCAATTGGCATGTGAATTTGAAGTACCATGACTAGGAAAGCTGTTATGACACAAAGAATTTTGGCAGCAAACATAAAGCCTTTTCACAAAAATAATAATTCCAAAACACTGTATCAGAAAAGTGCCCCTGTATTTAAATAATAGCTTATTTCAAGCCTGAGCAAGTCCAGGATGACAAATTTGGACTAGCTGGACAAGGGCTGTAACTAAGTGGGTTAAAGTCATGCCATTTGTCCAGTTTAAGTAGCATATTGCAATGTCTATATGTCCCTGATACAAATGCAACTGGCCCACGACAGTTTTTTAGTTCATGCTTACTTAACAGTGAGTATTGGCATTCTTACTCATCCCACGGTAATCCAGTTTCCCTACTGTACAAAAAATATCAGAACTGTTTTATGGCTCCCTAGGCTGTGCGGCATTAGCAATCCTTTGTCATTGTCACCTCTGTGGAGGTTGTATTCTGTACACTTTTTCTTATTTTTTATAATCTATTCTCCCTAACTGCCTTCTCTAATACATTTTATAAAAGAAGTGTGTTATGGGGAACAAGGGTGGGAAGGGAGAGTTTCCAACTATTCCTATTCAGATGCAAAATAGGCATAGAGCTTGTGATTTTGCAACAGACCAAGATCCAGACAAGACATTCTCTTATATAATAACACTGAAATTTTCCCTGTGGTCCAATGCAATAGTAATTTAACCTTTTACAAAGTATTTTCCAGTTAATTTTAGTACCAGTCACAACAAGTTTGTTTGTTCACATCTAGATCATTTCTGAATGTGGTTTATTTATGAGAAAGAGTATGCTTTCAGGAAGGTGCTTATGAGAATTTCCAGATATTGAGTCATGTTATTTTTGTGTGCGGTCCTGATTTGAGTTATTTTTGTTTTTATATACTTTTTGAAAAAAAGACGGATTAAAAAAAACATTAATAATGGTTGTGAACTGCAGAAATACAGTATGTCTTTAAGAGCTACAATGGAATTCTTTGCATTTTTTAAATTAATTAATAGGTCAGTTCTAACCAGTGCTACTACATAATGGAATGTGATTCTGATAACAAGGCCTTTGGGAACATTCTTAATCCTGGTTATGCTGTTTGCTTTCTTTACTGTGAGTAGTAATATGTGATGCTGATGAAATTTTAAATACTTATAGAAAAAGATAGTTGCGTCATAGACATGATTTTTCCATATGATATTAAAAAAGATTACTGTGGTGTTTCTGAGGGGAAATTATTTTTTAATCAAGTGTAGGCGTTACATTTCCCTTTTTTTTTCAGTAGAGAGAACATCCGTTTTCACAACAAAGAGAAAACAAGGACAGAAGAAAAGTCTAAAATTTGACATTTGATAAATGCTTTCATTCCCTATTAACTTCCTATGTCATGGCACATTTTTGCTTTTAGTAAATGTTAAAAAAATTGGGCTGCTACTGTAGCTTTGAAGACAACTACCATGATATTTGCACCTCATGTCTGGACTCTTAAAACACCAGCTATTATAAGATCACTTTATTAGCCATATACAGTTTCTTACATTAGGAATTTGTCTTTTCGCATACCCCAGCTTGCTCTCCATGAGACACACAGGCACACAGATGGGGAGAGAAAAGCTTGGGTTCTGAGCGCAGGGTCAGCCATTTATATGGCGCCCCTGGAGCAGTTGGGGTTAAGGGCCTTTTTCTTCAGGGGTCCAACGTAGTAGGATTCCTCTGCCGGCCACTGGATTTGAACTGGCAACCTTCCAGCCACATTAAGTTTTCTTAGTAAATTTGGAAGCCTGTATAGTCACTGATGATTAGTGATGAACTGACTCATCTCTTACTTGTCCATCCAGCAACATGTTATCTTCCAGTCTGACCCTGATAAATCCATTTCTTTTTCTATTTAAGTCATTTTAATGAATCCATAGTTTTGTTTTTCAAGTAGTTATTTATACAGACAACTTGCATTACCATTGCTATTCACTGCATGTTGCAGTTACCTAAAAGGTAATAGTATCATAAAAACTAGGACTGAACACTGATACTTCTGTTTTTAGAAAGTTTACTTTCTGGTAATTTTTTGTATTTTGTAATATATATTTCCATTAATTTATATCAGTGAATATAAGAAAAGGTTCCTTCTGTCGATTTAAAAACAGTATTATAGATCTGTAGTCTCCTGTTAGTGGAATGTGTGACTTACATTATAATTTGAGCACGGTGCTTTATACCATTATAGTATAAAACAAAATGTTTACATTTTGCAGTTTAATGAAGTAGCATACGGTTTTTGTTTTATGATTGTGCCTTTTAAATAATCTTCAGTTCCAGCTTGTTTGACAATTAATATTGCTAGAAAAAATAAGTAAACCAGCCCTCAATTCAGACCAAAATTTTGGAAGGTGAACTTTTTCATAAATAGTGTTAAGACAAGGTATTGCAGGAGATAGATTGTGAAAGATGACATTCATGCACTATTTGCTAAATCAAGCAGTGAATCAATTACGAATGCTGGCAGGTTTTTAGATGGCATTCAGTCACTGTCAGAGGAGTCACCAGTCTTACTTTATCAATCTGTCAGCACTCCTGATTGACAGAAGAGCATTTGAATAATACAGACAGATGGTTTCTAATTTGTTCTTTTTTTCTGCCCTTTCATGTTTGCTAGATAGCTGAATACCAAAGCTATATTTGTGTTATATACATTGATAATCAAATTAACTTATTACTCTATTCATGCATGTGTATTTTTAGAAATATAAAGTGCACAGATTCTAGATATTGATTAAATGCTCTTTTTTGCCATTTTGACTAAATAATCACTCATGAGTGACTTTGATACTCTCGAGCTTTGTTGCATATACATCATCTCATACAGTAAGTGAAAGAGTTGAGCCTTTGAGGTGATTTAACCTCTTGAAACCAAGCCTAGTGAAGTCAAGAAGTAAACAGAAAGGAAGCAATGTACTTTGAGCGGTGCCTTTGTGCCACCAGTATTTTAGAGCAACACCTCAGGTGAAAACATGAGCAAGTCATCTTTAACATTGAATCAAGGTAATGAGTAAGCCACTCTTGGTAGATGTCAGTGAGTGTGGCGCAAATGTACACAACAATACACGAGACCAATCAAAGGTCTGGGTAGGAGTGTCTAATCTCTACAGAATTCCATTTGTAGTGATTGATGGTAACCTGACAACACCTACCTGCACTGATCAAATCCTGGATTCTCACTTGCTGCCCTTCATATTGGTTCATTCTGACATGATGACATTCTATCAGGACAATGTATGTCCTCATGCAGTGACATCCACAGAATCTACAAGAGTAATGGGACAGAATCTCACAGTAAGTACAGCATCTGCAACTTTGTGCAAAGCATGCATCGCGGATGTATAGTTATATTGCCCTACACCAGTGGCAATGAACAGTGCTAAATTATGACACATGTACATTAACAGAAATAATTTACATATGTCATGTCTGTTCATACAAAAAATATTGAGTCATTTCCCTGGTAATTTGTACATTCTACAGTGATAAGTGCAGTTATAACTAATCCATTTCTCCTGATGCTTTGTATATTATGTTTTGGGGTCCATTTGCTTTTAACCTCTTCATCCAATCTGTGAGCTGGTGTCTGTCCAGACAAGCAACAGGCACAAGACAGAATATACCCTGGAGAGGATGACAGTTCATTGCAGGACACACTCACACACAAACACAGACTAACCACACACTCACACCAAGGCCAATTTTCCAAAAGCCAATTAACCAACAAGTATGTCTTGGGACTTTGGAAGGAAACCGAAGCACCCAGTAAAAACCTATGTGAACATGGAGAGAATATACAAACTCCACACAGATAGCACTCCAGGTCTGGAATTGAACCCAGCGCTCCAGAGCTGCAAAACAGCAGTGCTAAACACTGTGGCACAATGTTACCTCTGCATAGAGCAAATTCCCAATGAATAATAAATCAAGATCAGAAATCCTTTATCAATCTTTGTGAGACGTGATAACAGATTGTCTTCTCCTAACACAGATATTTTAATATGGACCATAATATGACCCCTTTATTTAATTTAATCTGGAATCATAAGATGGAAAACAAATGTAAAACCACACCTTAGTACTTTTCTGTTTGAGTATTGATCTTTCATTAGACCTAGCTAGGTCAATGACTAACTCATGTACTTTGTAATAGCATGGGTTCAGACTCAGGTGACACTCTTAATGAGTACTTCTTAAGTAGGTTAGAAAGCAGCAGTGTTTGGTGACAGATTTCTGCTCCTGTTTCATAAATGCAGAAGCACTTTGCTTGTCCTTGGAAAGACTGACTGTGTGGAAAAAAACAAAAAAAAATCTTATCTGAGCTGAGAAAAGAGTTATCTCCCAGTGCCAGCTCAGGGTAGCTTAAGTCACATTTATGAAAACTTAATCCTGGGAACTCTTAAACCTGGAGTGATATAAATTAGTGGCATATTAACTGGAGCCCTTTGATGTTAATATCAAGAAGAGGTGACACAGGACTGTCACCCACACACCTGAGATTTGCACAAACAGCAGTGATTCAGTCAAGCATAGCCGACTCTGCTGAAGCTCGGTAAGCAGGAGCTGTTAACTGAAATGCCCTTTAGTGATAGCAGAATACATTAAAGATTATTGCATTGTTTTCAGGTAATCTCTTGCCTGACACACTTTCTGCAATTTTTCAAATGAGACAGCCTAAGGAAGAAATGAGTAAGGTAATGACGGGCTTACTTCAACCCCATTTGAATCTCTTCCCAGCCCACTTTGATAGCTGGCATTAAAACAAAAAAAAACAAAAAAGCTGAAAGTCAATTCCCAGTGCTCAGCTTCATGTGATCAGCATTAAATAGTTCTGTCACTTAATTCTGAATTTTAATGCAAGGCTTTGTCAGTTGGCAGGGATATACAAGAAGAGTATAAGCAAGGAGTTTGAAAGAATGCCTGGATTGTAAAACAATGACTCCAATCCATGTGAAGTGCAGCATTAACTTTGACAGCTAATTAGCTGTAGGTTTAAAGTCATCTGCATGATCAGACTTCTGCAAACTTTGAACAGTTTTGGATGCTTTTCTCTGATTTTGCATTTGCTCATGTCTTCCACAAGAGCTTATTTTCACATGACCAAAAAAACAGGATTCCTGAACCCGGGTTTGTTTTGAACAACACTCAAAACAATGAATGCTAAGGAGCCCTCCAAAGTCTTTCCAATTCCCCTTTCTCACTGAGCAAATGAATCAATGAATGTAATGCAAATCCTGAGACGCCAACATTTGTGTTGTGATTCTAATTGATTTGGTCAGGTTTACAAGCACCAGTATTTGTTAGCATCTTTATTTTTAACAGTGGTATAAGTATAATTGTTATTACTTTTAGATGGAAGAGGCAGTGGAAACAGTGTTGGTGGTAACACTTACAAAATTGTAATATTGATGAAGAATTTCAATCAAGAAACACCTCTTTCGTTATCAGGTGATCTAAGAAACAAATGTTATCAATTTCATATGACAAGTCACTGCAAATGCCTGGAGATTTTGCTATCACTGCTTGATTTGGTGTAAATGCCCTTTTACAATAAGCATTTGGGAATTTCAAAGGACTGTGGGACTGTTTGACAGTGGCCTGTTTTATGTACCTTTTGGAAAACATTACATTGTCTAAAGGATACTGGATTATTATTTAGCACCCCGTTGTATTTTAGATCAAGCAATGTTGAATAAATCATGTTTATTGATGTATTCATTCTTTCATCTAAACCTTAGGTATAATTTTGAATAACTGTTTGACAGACTGACAGAAAATTCAGGACAAAAATACAATGCTTTACTGCCCAGAGTGAAACAAAGCCAAACACCTCAGCCTTTATACTGTACCACAACGTTTCGCAGGATAAACATTGGGATTTAAAGAAAGCAAGGTGTAAAAACTGCTGTGAAATGTACACATGCAAGATAAAATACAATAGAAACTTTATAAACTATAAAATATAAACTTCCTCAAATTATATTCCAGTTGTTTCAGACACCCCCAAACTGTCTTTTTGCAAGCCATATTGGCAGAATCTGAGTTTATGCTACTCTGACAACAGCTATTGTTTGTGCGTCAGAATCCTACTTTCCCAGATGAAGTCACTGCTGTGTGGCCAGAATAGAATTGTCTTGCTTCATTCGCACTTGTCTTAACAGAGGACATCCAGTAACTGGATGTACAACTGTCAAAGACTGGATTTGAACCTGCTGTCTTCCACTTGTACGAATTGTCCTAAGTTCTCAGGAGACCCTTATACCACATTATACCAATTGGCACACCTAGAACAATTTGATCAGGCCAGTTTAAAAGGCAGTCTTCTGCTCACAGTAGATATTTCTTTGAAATGTTTTTTCCAATTATTTTTTTTGCTAATGCACTTTAAATGTTAGATTGTATTTACCATTAAAATTCTCTATTTGTTAATCAGAAAACTCAGTTTTGTAGAAATGAATGGACATTTTTAAATCCTAGTTGCCAAGCTTTCTTAAATATGTATTAAAATTTAGCAAAGGTCTCACTCATAGCAATTAATAAGGACCTGTGATATATTAAAACATTTCAATTTAAATAAATTAAATTAATTTAAATGAAATATCCATTTTCAAGATTTTTCTTTTTAAATGTGGACTAGAGAAAAACATATTTTACATGTAATTCGAAGGTAGTGTCCCGTGTTTGGACCTACATTTGCTGTGTTTTTATATTTATCCTGTCTCAATTTTTCCTGAACAAGAAAATGTTTATTTTAAATAATATAAGTTTGTCCATTTTCAAAAGATATTTGGACACAAAGAAATAAGATGCTAAAAATTGTATTTTTTGTCAACTAAATGTAAAATACAATGAAGTCTCAGGGACCTGCAACAAAAAACCTACAGTATAAGAAAAACAGAAAAACAAAAAAAGAAAAATCGTACAATAACTAAAACTAATTTACTTCTACAAAAACATTTCATCAAATTGATAGCATTCTATAGGCACATAAATTCACATCTAATGGAAATAGAACATTTTATGGATCATTGCTTGATTACATCATTTTAATTCTAAATGCATTTTTATAACTTAACAGATATTCAGTTTAATTTAAATTGTATCTGAACAATTGTAAGCATGGACAGAATAGGAAAATTAATTATTCCTTTAATAACATAGCAGAAAATTGCTTGTCCATGAGAGAAGACTTCTCTACAAATATGCAATTTAGAGGAAATTAAATTAATTAATTTTAAAGGTTCTTCTCAACCAATAATGTGAACATGTATTTAATTACAGAGACATTTTAAATATCCTGTTCCTTAGAAAAGCTTCCAGCATTAAGCATTGTGAATTAAAATTGTTTTTTAGTTACAGAGTATTTTTTTTCTATTTCCATTAACAAACAATTTAGTGTGTTTTTGCTTCAGAAGGAGGTTTCGTTTAGGTCCCTAAGCAAGCATTCTTATAAAAAAAAATGTATTCAGTATTTGCTGTGTGACAGTTCTCATCTACTGTTTATATGGCCAATTATCAAAACCTCATGGGGTCCAAAATCAAGAAACATCATACTAAACCTTCTCCTGAGGGAAAAGGAGCTGTCCACACAATCAATGTAGAGGGCATGAACATTTCAGAATTACAGCTTCAATCAGCATGCACTGGCATGGAAACTGCCACTGCCACTTTAATGAGAAAGCATAAATGGCCGACGCAATCATCCATGAATGCAGACACTGAGGCGAATCTGATGGATCAGGCTTTTTTGATGAGAACCAACTGTGTGTGGACAAAAGCTTTAAGAAACTCTTAGTGAAGTTGAGAAGGCTTAAGATAAAACACCACGCTAGAACTTTCTGACCAAGCAACATACAGTAGATTTACATCTTAACATGACAAAAGGGTAGGAGATCCATGGGTCAAATCAGTCTTTTAAAAATTACTCTTTTTTGGTCTGTACCGACAAAGGCATAAACATTGGTTCAGACATCATGAGAGGTACAGTATACACATCTCCCAGGAGGTTTCCTTAGAGAACTGGGCATCAGAATTCCTTCCGACGTTTTCCATAATAGAATTAGACTAGTGCGTCTAAATATAACTTGATATGCCTGTTGCATTAATTTTACTGGACACCCCACTTTTAGCCCCCGCCAGCACCACCACAATAACAGAAACTTGATTTTTGAGGGGAAAGAGCCATGAATTATACAGGGTAGCCATAACTGCGCACTTAAAACGAACACACATGCATAGAGAGTTGAAGAGAATTCCTGTCGACAG